CCCTTCCTCTGCCACGTGCCGGCTTGGGTGAATGCCACCCTCTCCAAGCCCAGCGTTGATCTGTCCCCGTCCACACACACACACAAACACAGCCAGCCGAGGGTTAAGAAAGTACTTGGCACGCACACAGGTTGTTATCTCAAACTTGGCAGCAATATAATCACTGTCTGCCAAGAGCTTTTACTGCAACAGATAACACAAAATTACATACGCATTGCAAATAGTCCAGCAAAACAATATTCCTTTCGGCAGCTTCAGATGTTGTTCAAGTGACTAGCCAAAGTTCGTTTTTGTTCGTCACGGAGTTTTACCAGCCACCACCCTCTCTTATATGGTCTCTGGGGTGTGGTCCAGTGACTCAGTTCTAATCCCTAGCATGCCTCCTTAACTGCTGCAACTGTTTATCACGCCTTCGTTGGCGTGCGTCCAGGAATGACGGCTCTCCTTCGCTCTCATCCGAGACACCTGGCTCCTGGCTAATCTCCTCTCCCTCGGCTGGCACCTGAGACAGTGCCAGAGGGGAGGGGCCTGGAGAGGGAGGCCTGGCTGACTCCTCTCCCTCATGTTCGGAGCTTTCTTCCTCCGATGAGATAGGCTCAGAGGGCGTGGTGATCACCGGGGAAGGGGGACAGACATTGGCACAAAGGCCCAAGGCTCACAAGCAGGAATCGGAGGGAGTTTCAGCAGCTTGGGGGAGGGGGGAGAAATCCCTCTTGGTGCATCTCATTGCCCCCCCTCCCCACCGAAATTCAGCAAAGAAAGGAACAGTGTCACCCCGACATTCCCGATCTCGCTTTGGCAATCGCCCTGTTCCCATCAGCTTTTAATTCACACAGGATAGGGTTGGAAGAAGTGGTGGAGTTCAAATTTTTTTCCTGTGGGTGTGGCTTGGTGGGCGTGGCAGGGGAAGGATATTGCAAAATCCCCAATCCCACCCCACTCCTGGGGGGAAGGATATTGCAAAATCCCCATTCCCAACTCACTCCTGGGGGAAGGATATTGCAAAATCCCCATTCCCACCCCACTCCTGGGGGAAGGATACTGCAAAATCCCCATTCACACCCCACTCCTGGTGGAAGGATATTGCAAAATCCCCATTCCCAACTCACTCCTGGGGGAAGGGTATTGCAAAATCCCCATTCCCACCCCATTCCTGGGAGGATACTGCAAAATCCCCATTCCCACCGCACTCCTGGGAGGAAGCATATTGCAAAATCCCCATTCCCACCCCACTCCCGGGAGAAGGATATTGCAAAATCCCTATTCCCACCCCACTCCTGGGGCCAGCCAGAGGTGGTATTTGCCGGTTCTCCGAACTACTCAAAAATTTCCGCTACCGGTTCGTCAGAACCTGCTGAATAGCACCCCTGGTTGGAAGGGACCTTGGAGGTCTTCTAGTCCAGCCCCCTGCTCAAGCAGGAGACGCAGCCCCCTGCTCAAGCAGGAGACGCAGCCCCCTGTCGCTTTGCTGTTCTTGCAAAGGCCCTGTTCTCTTCCGCATTGCGCACAAGGGAAGCTATTCAGAGGTGGGTTTCAGCAGGTTCTGACCAGTTCTGGAGAACTGGTAGCGGATATTTTGAGTAGTTCGGAGAACCGGTAGTAAAAATTCTGACTGGCCCCACCCCCATCTATTCTCTGCCTCCCAGGTCCCAGCTGATTGGGAGGAAATGGGGATTTTGCAGTATCCTTCCCCTTGGAGTCGGGGGGGAATGGAGATTTTACAGTATCCTTCCCCTGGAATGGTGTGGGAATGGAGATTTTACAGTATCGTTCCCCTGCCATGCTCACCAAGCCACGCCCACCAAGCCATGCCCACAGAACCGGTCGTAAAAAAATTTGAAGCTATTCCTGTGTCTGCTGTATTCCAACCCCCACCAACCCCCCAAAAAGAACTATGTCAAGTTTTAACAGCCACTTGAGATGTATGCTGGGCACCCTCCGGCTGAAGGCAGCAGGGGGGTGCCTGGCCAATCGACGAGTGTGTCCCAAGAGGCTTCGGACCTAGTCAATCTGTCCCCTCCCACTGCATTCCCACTCACGCCAGGAATACAATTATTAAATTTGCAGAAGATACACAACAGTGGTGGGATTCCTCTCCGGGAGGGGGAGGGTGTGAGTCTGCCTATCGAGGCGAGGTGGACCGGTTGCTTTCGTGGTGTGGAGACAATAACTTGGTCCTTAACCCCAATAAGACCAAGGAGCTTATTATAGTGGACTGCAGAAGGAATAGATCAAGACATCCAGCCTTTGCTTATCAATGGAGACCGAGTGGAGCAAGTGGCCAGTTTTACGTTTCTGAATGTTGTCATAAAAAGAGGACCTGACCTGGGGCGCTCACATTGCAGCACTGGTCAAAAGGGCCCAGCAGAGATTCTACGACCTGAGACTTCTCAGAAAACAACAACTGAATGAAAAATTTCTGGCGACCTTCTACCGCTGCACCATAGAGAGTATTTTAAGAGTACTGCACCTGTGTTTATGGTTTGCCAATTGCACAGCGGCAGATAGGACAGCGCTCCAGAGGGTCAACGTCATTGCCCAGAGGATCATTGATTGCCCTCTCCCCACTTTGGAAGTTTTATAGCTCTCGCTGCCTTAAGAAAGTTCAAAATATTCTTAAAGATCCATCTCATCCTGGGCACTTTTTTTTTTTTTTTTTTGAACTATTACCATCTGGCAGCCGGTACAGGATCATAAAAACAAGGACAAATAGGCCGAAAAACGGCTTCTATCCCAGGGCAGTTAAGTATATTGAATTCTATTGTACAGCGCAATATTAATGCAGTATCAGGGGTTTTCCATTCAATTGTATAGAATGCGAAGGATGTGCGTTTGTGTTTTACTTTTATAGTTATAATGTGCACTGAAGATGGCATTTAATTCCGTTGTACAAGGTGCAATAACAATAAAGTAAACTAACTAACTGACGCATCTACAGTGGGTGTGCTGGCAGCCTTGTGGAAAAGTCAAGCGCACAGGCGCCCTCTCGGTATGTAGATCTGACCTCCAGCATCTGCAGCGGGGTGCGTGCTCCCCAGTGGTGGGATTCAACCGGTGTAACAACCGGTTCACTGAACGCGTGCTTTGCGCACAGGGTGCATTTGAAAACAGCTCTAAAACTTACCTTCTCCTGCAGCCCTGGTGAGTAAAACAGCTGAGGCACGACAATCCGCTCTGCCGCGCCTATCAGCTGGGCTTCAAACAAAGGAAATATAGGTCGGTATAACGCAGGGAAGGGTGGGTGGCCCCAGCTGATTGTCGGAGCAAACCGATTCGCTCTTCAGCTGATTGTCGGAGCTACCAGTTCGCTCTCAGCTGATTGTTGGAACTACCGGCTCTCAGCTGATTGTTGGAACTACCGATTCACTCTCAGAGGATTGTCGGAGCTACCGGTTCACTCTCAGCAGATTTTCGGAGCTACCGGTTTGTCCGAACCGGCTGAATCCCACCCCTGGTGCTCCCCAACATCCGGAGAGCTGCCATCGTTACCCCCGTGAGTGCAGGCCAGTAAGAGACCCTCCCTCTAACTCAAGGCAAGGCTGCCTCCTGCCTTGCTGGGGGCAGGGGAAGGCTGATTGAGCGAAATAAAGACCACCAGAGGTAACAATACCGTTTTACTAAGTTTATAGATCAATCCAAAATGCTACACATGGCAACTATTCTACCACAAGGTCCACACTTTTTTTGTTTTTGTTTTATTATCAATGGAGTTACAGTAATATTGTAAGGTTTTTTGTGTTTTTTTTCCTCGTTATTATTAAACAAGAAAGATATTCATGTATACAGTTTAAGGAGAGAGAAATCGTGAATGAAATCGGGGATTGGCTTCACCTCTTATATCTCAGTTTGCGTCAGCTAGCGTTAAAGTCTGGTCGAGGAGGAGAAAAAGAAAAGAAAGAACTCGGAAATAAAAATTATCTTTATATACAAACAGTGCCTCTGAGGGGTTACCGGCCTACGCTCACACACACTGCACACGGTTAAGTTCATCTGCTGATTTAAACCAAAAAAAAAGCTATCTCAGCATAGGATAAATCAGTTTAAATTAAAAGGTGCCCCCCCCCCAAAAAAGGAAAAAAAACAAAACACCATTTCGTTCTTCAGCTTTTCTTTGTGTGAGGAAGTTTGGCTACTCTACCCTTGGCAACTTTTTAAGACTTGTGGACTTCAACTCCCAGAATTCCTCAGCCAAGAATTCTGGGACTTGAAGTCCACAAGTCTTTTAAAAAGTTGCCAAGGGATAGAGAACCCCTGCTCTAAGCCCTCGGAAATCTTAAGTAGCGTTATCACCTACTAGTGTAGTTACAAAAACTAAGGAGTGTTCACCGGGAAGGGGAACGGGGGGCTGGGGGTAGGGGCTGACCCTCAACGAGTCAGGGCTGAAGGTGAGTTTAGCAGCAGCAGCAACAGTGGTCAAAAAACGAAGCTCCCTCTTTTTCCCGGAGCTGTTTGTGTATCTCCCACCTGCTTTCTGCAGGCAGAAAACTCACCCAAAAAATGGAGATAAAAGCAAAATGGAAGCCAACGGTTCTCGTGTCGAGAGCCAAGCGGCCGTTTCAGAGCGGAGGCACTGGGGGGGCCCAAATCCGAACCAGCAAAGGGGGAGGCGACTTCCACCCTTTCCCCGACTTCCATGGGAGCGAAGTGGAGCCCCAGAGCAAGGCCCGAGGAGGGGGTAGGTGGGTTGCAAGCTCACAAACACGAGCCGCCCGTGTGTGCATGTGTATAAAACGGACCCTGATGAAACGGTGTTGTTGAAATCTCAGCTTTCGTTCGGGAGCAGGAGGTTCCCCCCCCGGGAAGTGGGGGGGGGAAGGAGTTGCCTTAAGAAGCCTCCACACCCGCTGAGTTGCATAGAAGTTATTTCATGACGGAGAACGAAGCGCTGGACAGACAGACAGAGAGAAAGAGACCGGGGGGGGGACGGGAAACAAAACACACAAAATTGGGGGGCGGGGGGGGGGGGTAGCCTTGCTTCCAAAAGATCAACCATGGCCCCTACTTGGATGGAGTGGAGAAACCTTTCGTTCGCTCTCTAGCAAGAAGAGTTGGAACTTTTTTTTTTTTTTAGTTAAAAAGAGCCGCGGCGGTTTTGAGTGGCGGTGGTTTTGGTTTTCCTTTTGTTCCTCTCGAGTGGAATCTTTTTAAAAAGCTGTCACTGTAAAAAAAAAAAAAAAAAAAAAACCAAAAAAAGCACTCGTTTGTAAACTGGGTTAAGTTAGAAGACGGCGGTCGATTCTTCGTACCTAAGCGCCTGCGGAATGGAGCGGATCGTTGTTCCTTCTCTGGGAAAAAGAGGGGGGAAAAAGCATCCGTCTACAGCTACACCCCCCCTGGTTAAATAATCAGTAGTTTGAAGATCCCTCGTTTCATTACAAGCAGCGTGTCCGGCTTGGGTCTCCGGCCTGTGGGGGGAAAAAATTCTGCTGCACCGCGATGTGTTTCGGGAGTCCTATATACATCTGGTCCTTTCTCCTGCAGGCAGGCAGCCAAGACAAGCTCTGGAAGGCAGAAGGTCTCTCAGGGGAGGCCCTGGGAGCAGCCCCCACCCCCACCGAGGTCGCTGTCCAGCTTCTTCAGCACGTCTCTTTCCCTTGGACGCCGGTCACTGTCTTTATAGAGCTCAGCGTTCGGTTGAACCAGGTTTTGCGTGAGGCCTGCACCTCGTTCAGCGCCTGTCCCAGGTCGTGCTCCAGATCCTGCAAGGGAACAAGATGGGATGAGCATGGCGTTAAAAAAAAAAAAAAAGGCATGGGGCAACGCCTGCCCTGCCCTGAAAGGGATCTTAGGACTTAGGTCCTGGTTACTTACGGGACCGCCTACTACCATCAATAGCCTCCCACCGACCAGTACGCTCCCACAGAGAGGGGCTCCTCCAGGTGCCGTCGGCCAAACAATGTCGGCTGTCGGCCCCTAGGGGGAGAGCCTTCTTTGTGGGGGCACCGACGATCTGGAATGAGCTCCCCCCAGAGATACGGAGGATTCCGGATCTGCGCACCTTCCGCCGTGAGCTGAAGACTCTTTTATTTCATCAAGCTGGCCTGGCCTAAATCTTCTCCCTTTTAAGTGTAAATTTTAAATTTTTACTGTATTTTAAAATATGGGTATTTTAAATTATGGGTATCAATTCAGCCAAATTTATTTAATTTATTTTATTCGATTTTAAATTTTGTATATCTATGTGTTTTATTTCATGGCTGTGCACCGCCCTGAGTCCTTCGGGAGTAGGGCGGTATAGAAATTCAATAAAATAAATAAATAAATAAAGGGATCCGTCAACGTAAATCTGAACAGTCTCCTGCTCGGATAGGAGACACTTCCAGATCACCTGTTCAGCGAGGGAATTCATTTATGTAATTTTTAATGTCATCCATCCTTTAGGTGACTGAATAGCTTCAAAACATTAGGTGGTCGGCCTTCTGAGTAATTTAAAAGAGTGTATGGTTTGCCAATTGCATAGTGGCAGATAGGACAGTGCTCCGGAGGGTCAACGTCATTGCCCAGAGGATCACTGGTTGCCCTCTCCCTTCCTTGGAAGAGCTTTATAGCTCTCGCTGCCTTAAGAAAGTTCAAAACATTCTTAAAGATCCATCTCATCCTGGGCACTTTTTTTTTTTTTTTGGAACTATTACCATTTGGCAGACGGTACAGGATCATAAAAACAAGAACAAATAGGCCGAAAAACAGCTTCTATCCCAGGGCGGTAACTATATTGAATTCTACTGTATAAAAAGGTAAAGGTTCCCCTCGCGCATACGTGCTAGTCGTTCTCGACTCTAGGGGGCGGTGCTCATCTCCGTTTCAAAGCCGAAGAGCCAGCGCTGTCCAAAGACTTCTCTGTGGTTTCATGTGGCCGCCGTGACTAAATGCCAAAGGCGCACAGAACTCTGTTACCTTCCCACCAAAGGTAGTTCCTATTTTTCTACTTGCATTTTTTACGTTATTTTCGAACTCCTAGGTTGGCAGAAGCTGGGAGCTCACCCTGTTATGCGGAACTAGGGATTCGAACCGCTAAATTGCCGACCTTTTGATCGACAAGCTCAGCGTATTAGCCACTGATCCACCGTGTCCCTACTTAGGACGTGGTGGGAAAGTTCAAAACAGTCTTAAAGATCCATCTCAGTCTTTTTTTTTTTTTTTTTTAACTATTACCATCTGGCAGACGGTACAGGACAATATAAAGGACAAATAGGCTGAAAAACAGCTTCTCTGACAGAGCAGTAACTATGTTGAATTCTACTGCATAGCACAATATTAATGCAGTATCAAGGGGTTTCAATTCGATTGTATAGAATGCAAAGGATGTGCGTTTGTGATTTATTTTTATAGTTATAATGTACACTGAAGACGGCATTTAATTTCGTTGTACGAGGTGCAGTGACAACAAAGTTAACAACTAACTAACTGACGCAGCTGCAGTGGGTGTGCTGGGGGCCTTGTGGAAAAGCCAAGCGCTCTCTACATGTAGATCTGACCTCCAGCATCCGCAAAACTTTAGGAGGTTGGTCTTCTGGGTAATTTGAAAGAGGTCCGGAGGGCAAGGGATTTGTAACGGTTTCTGTTTTTTTTAGAGTGTAAAAATTTAATTGCAGGCACCCGGGGGAATTTGCTAAGCCAGACCGAAGATGGTCTCCAGCAGCTTGTGTCCTCCTGCGGGCCCCCCGTCCCCCAAGATGGCAGAGGGGGGAAAAGACTTCAAATCTAGGTGTCCCATTCTGAGAAACTCCGAGTCTTCATTCTCAAAGACCCAACTAAGGAATTCTGTCGGAAAAGAGAGGTGTGACCCTCGCCTGTCTACAATTCCCGGGGTGGGGTGGGGGCAGAAGTTCTGGCCGAGCATTAGCTCCCCCTCCTCCCTCCCCCGGCTGCCTTCCTCACCTGGATTTTGCATTCGGCCTCCACCAGTTGCAACTTGGTCTGAGCCAGTTCCAATTCCATTTCTCGTAACTGGTTCTTCAGCACCTCCTTCTCCTCGTCGGTGTCTTCGTCGGAACCCTCCCGGGCGACGCTGGCCACCTTCAACCGCCCTTCTTTGTTGAAAAACTCCCGGCAGTGTTCGCAGTCGTCGACTTTTTGCTACGGCCAAGAACGGCAGACAGTGAGGGGTGAATGTGTGTGTGTCTCCTCCTACTCTCGTGGATGGGCGGGCTGCTTTCGTGTCCAGCCCGGGGGGGGGGGGGGCTGGCAACAGTTGACAAGGCCTCAGACTTACTTGCCAAACCCCCACCCACCCACCCAGACACACAAACTAACTGCAAGACTGGTCTATTGAGCTCAAAGGTAGCACATTGAAAATTTAAGGTATTTGTGGCCCGCCAGCAGCCAGCAAAGCTGGCAGCAAATTCGGACAGTGAGGAGGTTGGGGAGGAACATGGGCCAGTCCTGGAGTCTGGGGAAGGCTCTGACAAGGCTCTGCGTCGGAGGCAGAGAGGGGGTCAGGGCCGTATGCCAGTTATCAGCTGCCTTCGGAGTCAGACATCAGTGAGGCAGAGGAACAGCTGGAGCCTGTTCCCACTGTGTGCATGCGCAGAGTTGCCACATGAAGGGAACAGCTAAAGAACAAGGGTCAACTAGGGAGTAAGGCCACACAGGTGGACAATGAATAGTCCCTCCCAGAGGGAATAAAAGAGGAGCGAAAAGGGAATGGAGTTTGCAGGAGACAATTAGTTCGCTTAATTGCTTCGTGACTCTCCTGGCCAAGTTTTGAAGATATCGGCCTGGCAGCTCTCCAAGCCGGATAAGGTCTGTGACTGTAAATTCACCCTTGAAAGACTTTGCTGGATGGGAATGAGAAGAATTTCACAGTAACTTAATAAAAAGGGGTTTTTGTCGGGACCAGGAGTCTGCTTCGTGCTCTTGGGGGAAGCCTAGATCAGAACGCTGTCTCTCTCTCTCTCTGTGCAACCTGAAATCCCCCACCTTCCTTTAGCGAAGCAGGGACCGAGGGGGTCTTCCAGACAAACAGGATGTTGGAAAGAGTTCAGAAGATGTTCTGGAATCTGCCCCCAAGTCAGGGAATCGGGGACGCTGCCCACCAGGTGATCCTAAGCTCAACCCACCCATCCACCACCTTCTTCTGTGCTCTACTTACGTGGATTTTCTCAATTTCAGCTTTATTGGCTATCTGCTGCTTCTCCAGCCTCTCACTCAGTTGGGAACAGATCTGCAAGGCAAACCCGAGTGGTGAACAGACCCTCCCAGGCCCAGGTAGGGCCCTCTCATCCTTCGCCCAGATTCCCAGGTTGGTCAGTTTTCCTGGCTGGACTTTGACACCAAAATCTCTCTTGGGCTTCAAAAGCTCTCGTGCCCCGTCGAGCGGCAGGGAATTTTGCAACCACAACGCTGCCGTTTCTTCAGCTGGCCCAAACCTTCTGAAACTGTCTGTGTCAGCATTCTGATGCTGCCATAAAAAGACGAGGCTTGACTTTTCACCTACTTATTTTCTCTGTAGATAATATCCCCTAGGAGATGGGACGGGAGGGGGGAACATTCCTGTGGGCTGAGGTCACGAACTGGGGAGACTGACTTGGAAGATGGCCAATGAGAAGATGAGAATTGGGGAACGGAAAGAGAAGGGTTTGGGGGTCAGAGGGTTAGTATCGGCTACGACGAAGTCGGGGCCAGATCTGTCATACTCAATAAATGGAATATTTCAGCAAAGATTAATTGTTTGGGACTGCAATTTATTTGAGATGACATCGAAACCTGACAGTCTGGGCTTTACGTCTTAAATCTCGAGAAGCCCAAATAACTGGTTTCTCTTCCTAAGAGAGGGTGAAGCTTGTTCTTCTTATTATTACCCTGTTTCCCCGAAAATACGACCTACCCTGAAAGTAAGTCCTAGCTTGATTTTTTTACAAGTGTACCCAATATAAGCCCTACCCCCAAAATAAGCCCTAATTAAAATCCCGCCCACTCCAGAGTGTACGGGTAAAAATTAAGCTAGGATGGGGATGCGGGGATGGTGGAGCTGCCCTACTTACCTTTGGACAGTTGTAACCAGGCCTCGCACACCTCAATACCTGCTGCGCCGGCCGATTTCTTCCGCAGCCAGCAAGGCTTAACCGAAGGCCTCTGTAGCTGGTAACAAAGCTCCGGATCGACCCGGAGCTCTGTTATCAGCTGCAGAGGCCTTCGTGGAAAGCCTTGACAGCCGCAGAAGAAGAAGTTCCTGAAGGCCTCTGACAACGAAAAGGAGGCCGAGGGTGACAGGCGCAAGCGAGGTTAGTCAGTGGATGACATCTCCCGAAAATAAGACCTGGTGCTTTTTTTGGTGGCAAAAAATATATATATAAAAGACAGGGTCTTATATTGGGGGAAACGCGATATTTTTTTTTTTAAATCAGCGATGTTCCATCCCCGGAGGCTTTTAAGAAGATATTGGACAGCCGTTTTGTCCAGAATGGGATAGGATCTCCTGCTTGAGCAAAGGGTTGGACTGGAAGATGCCTTCCAATTTTGTTATTTTGAGGGCAACCCCCTTGGTGCTTCCCTTTTCGAGATGAAACAACAACTCCCCGATGTGGCCACTCTTTGGGTTTTGTGTAAAAAAAAGAAGGCAAGGTGGTGAAACTTTATCTGGCCCAAGAGAGCCTGATCCCAGGGTCGCTTCGGAGCAGCTCCCTCTTGTATACCTGCTTGTAGTCCCCGATGATGGAGCTGTTCTTCTTAATCTCCGACTCGGCCTTGTCCAGTTCCCTCCGGCACATCTCCTTCAGCTTCAAGAGAAAGACGGAAAGGCCGCTCGTTTATTCATCCCTCCGCCAGGGTCTCTCATCCCCCTTTCCTCTCTCTAACCCCAAAAAACCCTCTGATGGGGGGGACAAAAGTCACAAGAGAAGGAAGCAGAGAAGACAGTCCTGTCAACCTGGAGAGCTTGGGGCAAGGATTTATGACGCATCCAGGGAGGAGGGGGAAAACAGGGTCGTAGTGGGGCCGTAAATTACGTGGGGCAGAGCTGACTCCACTTGGATAAGTGCCGACATGTTGCTCCTAATAAATAACTGGATTTCTTTAGCTCCACTTGGATAAGTGCCGACATGTTGCTCCTAATAAATAACTGGATTTCTTTTGAAATCTGGCTCGAGGCTCATGAATTAATTAGGGCATTTGTCAGAACCCTCACAGCCCCTTCTGGGACACTACTGCTCTCTTTCTAACAGGGATGGGGAATGTGGTTGTGGGGATGAATAGCTACAAGAGAACCAGACCAGACTAGAGATGATGGTGAAGGAAAAAAACCAAGACAACCGATTCTTGGTGCTTCTGTCCTCAGCAGGGGTGCTTATCGGATGTTGGACCACAGGTGATTTTTTTTCCCATAAAAGACAACCGGACTTTATTTTTCTCTGAAGATGTTTTGCTTCTCATCCAAGAAGCTTTTTCAGCTTTGATTGGATGGTGATGGGGCATGGAAGGATTTATATCGATGATGTCATATCATCTATACAACATCCTTTATCTTCAATCTACAACAGGGGATCTTCAATCTTGTCAACTTTATGACTTGTGGACTTCAACTCCCAGAATTCCTCAGCCAGCGCATGGAATTCTGGGAGTTGAAGTCCACAAGTCATAAAGTTGACAAGGTTGGAGACCCCCTGGTCTACGACACAGTCCTTTCATCAGTTCCAAGAAGGCTCCACGCCCATTTGTGCCACTCAGGTGGACCCTGAGGAGACAGATAAACCTCCAAGTGGCCTCAACGACTCTCTGAAAGGATGCAAATGACCAGCTGTCTGCAAGGAATATAAATCTGTTTTCCACCATTCAGTCAGAACCGAGGAAGCTGCTTGGATGAGCAGGGAAACGTCTTCAAAGAAAAACCAGAAAGTCCAGTTGCCTCTTGAAAAAAGCACTTTTGGGACAACCACGACCTAGAGAACTGAGAATCTATACAGACGTTTAGCTATACAATTTGGGATGGACACCCTTGGAATGGGTGTAGGAGTAGGAATGGATTTCCAGAGGAAACAAAAATTGCAGACTACGGGTACCAGAAGCACCACTCAGGTGACCCTGAGGACACAGAAAAACCTCCAAGTGGCTTCAACGACCCACTAAAACAGGTGTCCCCAACTGGGGGTGCGAGATGATATTCCAGGGGGTGCGAAAACTTGGATTTAGAAGCTTCAAAATTATAGCGCAATACTCTCTACATGGGGCTCCCCCTGGGGTGCACCCGGAGGCTCCAGCTGGTCCAGAATGCGGCCGCGCGGGGGATTATGGAAGCGACGGGGCGCTCCCATGTGACACCTCTCCTGCGCGAGCTGCACTGGCTCCCGGTGGTCTTCCGGGTGCGCTTCAAGGTGTTGGTGACCACCTTTAAAGCGCTCCATGGCTTAGGGTCAGGGTATTTACGGGACCGCCTTCTGCCACCAATAGCCTCCCACCGGCCGGTTCGCTCCCACAGAGAGGGCCTCCTCAGGGTGCCGTCCGCCAGACAGTGTCGGCTGGCGACCCCCAGGGGGAGACCCTTCTCTGTGGCGGCGCCCGCTCTCTGGAACAACCTCCCCCCAGAGATACGTACAATATCAGACCTCCGGACTTTTCGTCGGGCCCTGAAAACTTATTTATTTCACCTAGCCGGGCTGGCTTGATCCCACAGTTTTGGTTAAATTTAATTGATTTTAATTGGGTTTGTTTTAAATTGCGGCCAAAAATATTTAATTATTTTTAAATTGTTTTTAAATTTTGTATGTTCTGTTTTATTCTGGCTGTTCACCGCCCTGAGGCCTGCTGGAGAAGGGCGGTATACAAATTAAAAAAATAAATAAATAATAAAAAATAAATAGTGCATATGCATAATTATATGCATATAATTATTTACTTTCGTAAGGGGTGTGAGAATATGTCAGAAGCATTCTAGGGGTGAGGGGTATAGAAAAGGTTGGGAACCCCTTCTCTAAAAGGATGCAAATGACCAGCTGTCTGCAAGGAATATAAATCTTTCCATTCCCCACTGAAGAAGCTTCTTGGATGAGAAGCGAAATGTCTTCAAGGAAAAAGGAAGTCCAGTTTCCTCTTGAAAAAAAGCACCTATAGGACAACAATGACCTTGGATGACTGAGGATCTCCATAGACATCACATGCTGAACTCCAGGAAGGATCGCCTAAAACCAGAACTGCCCATATTCCCTCCTACCTCCTGCCTGCCCTGCTCCCCTCCGGCCCGATCCTGTCCCAACCTGAGCCGATTCCTCCTCCAGCCTTCTCTTTTCATCCTCGGCGTCTATCAGCTTCTGTTTGGTCATCAGGAGCTCCTTGTTCAGCGCATCGGCTTTTTCCTCTGCCTGGAAAGGGAAACACCGACGGCCAAATGACCAGAACGAGAGTTAACAGATTTGAAGAGAGGGGAAAACTTTGCTTGGTTCTTAAGCAGACATTCCATCCAAAAGCGAGCAAGAGGCATATAAATCAAATTAAAAAAAAAAAGAAGAAGAAGAGACCGGGAAGGGGAACTTTTAAGAATCAAGCTTGAGTTTTGTGGTCCCTGTGATCCAAGGCAAGATTTTAAGATAACGGAGAGTAGCTTTAGGAGCGGTGGGGTGGCCTAGAGGTGGAGCTCTGGCCTCACGATCAGGAGGCTGCGAGTTCGATCCTCGGTAGAGGCAGATATTTCTTTCTCTGGGCACAATGAGATTATATCTGCTGAACAAAACTCCGCATTGGCGACAGGAAGGGCATCCGGCCAGTAAATCTTCAGCTCCATTCGGTTGCCCAGGACTCCACCCTGCAAGGGATTACGGGGTCATTAAACGACAAAAGAAGAGCGTAGCGATAGCAGCAGAGTCAATCCTTGGAGAAGGAAAGGAGACTGTGTCTCGGAGTTGCCAAGGTGTCTCTTAGCCCACCATTTTGGCGGGATGGCAAGACGACAGCCTATTTCCCTGCGGGAAGGCTTCCTGTCTTCTTACAGCTTTTCTGCCCCCAGGAAACAAGCTACAACAATGTCGCAATGACCCGAAATCCGAAAGCTCTGGTGTTCTGTGGGCGTTATGAGGATGACAAAGACACTAAGCTTAATCTTGGCCAAGAGCAGAGTAGCAGTTGGAGTTCTTATGTATCAGAATTATAAAGCAGGATGATTTTTTCCTGCTCTTCCAGGCCAGGAGTGCTTCTAAACCCTTCCCAAGACTTTTTGTTCCTGTTTGGGGAAGTTTTGGCCTCTGTGGGAGGACTGATCCTCTTCCATTTTGGGCATGCTGATGGCATGTCCTTGGCAGCATTGAAGCTTCCGGCTTAATATGGCTTCCAAGGCTGAGTTGGGGGAATTTCTGGAACGCTGACAGTCCTGGCATACCACAAAGACAGGGCTGGCTAAGAGAGTGTTGTGGCCAGCAGATTCGGACAGGGAGTAGGATGGGGAGGAACGTGGGCCAGTCCTGGAGTCTGGGGAAGGCTCGGACGAGAGCTCTGTGTCGGAGACAGAGATGGGGCCACGACCATCTGGGAGTTCTTTGCTGCCTCCGGAGTCTCCGGAGTCTGACATCAGCAAGGCAGAAGAACAGTGTGAGCCTGTTCCCAGTGTGTGCATGCGCAGAGCTGCCAGGAGACAGGAACAATTAAGGAAACAGGGTCGACTTGGGAGTAAGGCTTGGAGATGATTGGCCCCTCCCATAAGACATAAAAGGAAGAGCGAACGGGTACATGAGCATTTGCAGGAAGCAATTAATTCATCTGGCCGATTCAAGATTTGAAAATTCTGTTTGTGACTCAGTGCCAAGTTTGGCCTTGCCCTGCGTCTGGAAATTAGCTCTTTGGCAGCATTACATGTGAGATAAGTGGGTGTTGATAATCTTTCTCTGAAAGGCTGTTTATCAAGCCTTGCGGACTGTAAATGAAAGTAATTTACAGCCGTATGAATTAAAGAGGTTTGCCGGGACTAAGTTTGTGCTGATTAATTTCTAAGGAAGCCTAGGTCAGAACAGAGAGTGCAAGGATTTAAGGAGGTGGCCCTGGAAGAGCTGAGCCAATTCCAAGGACCTCCTGCCAAATTGGTGGAAAGTTTTCAAAGAAAATGGATTTTCAACCAAGGACGCTTCACCTTGGAAGCTTTCCTTTCGCACTGTCATGCACCCTGTCGGGAGCCTGAATCTGTAGGGGAAGACGAGCTGGAACCTGAGCCAACAAGAGATTGAGGGGGCGGCTTTGTTGTCTTTGGAAGAAAATGGGGACGGCCAGGGACTTTCAGGTTTAGGCCAGATTGTAGGCAGGGAGGAACAGAGTCAGGGTGCACATGAGGGACAGAGCTCAGTCGAGGAGCAAGGACCACCCCCTCCTGATCCAAGGGCTTGGAGAGTGGAGAGAAGGTGTGAACAGCGCAATCTGAGCAGGCTACTCGGGAGGAAAGAGCCCCGCCCATCTTCACAAGGCACACCTTGGGGAATGAGACTTAAGGAGACGCTGTGGGGAGGGGCATTTGTCGGGAATAAACAACGTTTGAACTTTCCAAAGAGTCTTTGCATTCCTTCTGGCGTTCTGGATTTTTTGCTTCTTGATTTGTCCTTGATTGACCAAATAAATTTGGATTTATTGCTGTGCAGCCTTGGTGCAGACAGCGCTGGGCTGGACTAATTGCAGCCAGAGGCTGCTTGAGGTTTGTGCAGGACTCTGCTCTGGGACTTGCCAGAAACATGGGAGTGTTTGGGGAAGATTGGAGCAATAAAGAGGCAGGTTGAACTGCCAGCTGTTTGTGTTATCTCGGTGCCGTGCCCTGGGTCATCACATGCACTTATGTGTGCAAGTCTCAGAGGCAGCCGGAGACGTACCTTGGGTAAGGCAGAAGGAGGAAGAAGAGGAGAAGGAGAAGAAGGAGAAGAGGAAGGAGGATGAGAAGTGGAGAATGGAACAACAGAATAAAAGGAAAATAAATGACTGGATAAAAGCACATGAGCTGGAAGATGCTCAGGAATATTTCGCTTCTCGAACAAGCAGAGTCAAGTTGTACTAAAAATGTTGACCACGCAGGAGGGAGAAGAGAGAAAGTCTTACGTTGTCCAAGTCCTTCCGCAGGGCGATCTTGCTGGTCACCAGCTCGTGGGCCAGGTCGTCGTTCTCCTGCTCCAGCCTCATGTTGGCTTCCTGCAAGCGTCGGTTTTCTCTCTGCAAGGATGCCAAAAGGGGGCAGGCGTGAACCCCGACCCGATGCCACCCACATTCTTCTGGAATGAGCAGTCATAATAAATACAGTAAATGAATTCAGATTCCTGGCTCAAATTAAGATGTTGCCAAGCCAGTAGTCCCTCAGGGTTGGGTCCATCCATCATGACACCAGGAGATCAATGAAAACACTTAAAAGCAGCTGAAAACAGCCCTGGCAACCCAGGTGTGTGGGAAGGGAGACCAAATTTGCAAAAATGGCTCTGGGTGGTTCAGGTTTTAGAGCAGTAGTGGGATTCTACTGGTTCAGACTGGTTCAAGCGAACCGGTAGCTCTGACGATCAGCTGGGAACGAACCGGTTCACTCTGACAATCAACTGGGAACGAACCGGTTCGCTCCGATGATCAGCTGGGAATGAACCGGTTCGCTCTGATGATCAGCTGGGAACGAACTGGTTCGCTCTGACGATCAACTTGGAACAAACCGGTTCGCTCCAATGATCAGCTGGGAACGAACCGGTTCGCTCTGACGATCAACTGGGAACAAACCGATTCGCTCTGATGATCAGCTGGGCCCACCCACCCACCCTATTTTCCTACCTTTATTTCCTCAGCTGATTCGTGTGGCAGAGCTGATTGCTGCATGAAATCAGCTATGTTACTCCTCCGAAGAAACCCAGAATTGAAGATTTGTTTAAACTGCGCACGCCCGCGCAGCGAAGCATGCAATCACCGAACCCGGTTGGTAAGCCGGGAGGATCCCACCACTGTTTTAGAGGCCATCTAAGTGAGGCCCAACTCATGTTTGCACGGAAGGAAGAGGAAAAAAATGCAAGGCCAGAAAGAGAAGAGGAGAAGAAATAACCAGCGAATTGCCAAATGTTTCAAGGTCAAAATCTTGATCTTTTTTTTTGTTGCCAAGAAATTGGTTTATTTTGCGAGGGGGATAAGACTCAGCCTGGATCCGGTTTCCTGTTTTTGTGCTACCCCTTGTCTAGTTCTACACACAAGGGGTGTGTGAGTCTGAAGCAGGAGAGCCTCACCTCGAACCTTTCGATGGGATCTTCCTGCTGAGCCTGCTGCTCCCGCATCGTATGATATTCTCGCTCGTATTTCTTCAACTTCTTTTGGCTAATCTTAAAAAAGACAAAAAATACATATTAGAGCTCCGTCAACAGAATAATGAATAGAATAGAATAGAATAGAATAGAATAGAATAGAATAGAATAGAATAGAATAGAATAGAATATGGTAGGATAGGATAGGATAGGATAGGATAGGATAGGATAGGATAGGATAGGATAGGATAGGACAGGACAGGATAGGGAATAGAATAGGAGAAGAATACAGAATAGAATAGAATAGAAATTGGAAAAGTAATAGAAATAGAAATCGGAATAGAATAGAAAAGACATCGGAATAGAACAGAACAGAACAGAATTACAGAATAGAATAGAATAGAATATTCATTCATTCACTCATTCACTCATTCATTCATGCATTCATTCATTCATTCATTCAATTTATATGCCGCCCCTCTCCGAAGACCCAGGGCGGCTCACAATACACTCAAAAAATCACTATAAAAACACTTAAAAATTAAAAACATTAAAAACTCATTCACATCATTCATGGACAGATCTCGTCAGATCGCAAGAGCGAGATCAACAGCTCGAGGCCTGCCGGAAAAGCCAGGTCTTCACCGCTTTTCGGAAGGCCGATAGGGTGGGGATGGTCCGGAGCTCAGGAGGTAACTGGTTCCAGAGAGCTGGGGCAGCCACAGAGAAGGCCCTCCCCCGTGTGCCCACCAGCCGGCATTGTTTAGCTGACGGGACCCGGAGGAGACCAACTCTGTGGGATCTTACCGGTTGCTGGGAGCTATGCGGCAGAAGGCGGTCTCGAAGATAACCTGGCCCTGAGCCATGTAGGGATTTAAAGGTAATAACCAACACCTTGAATTGTGCCCGGAGACCAATAGGGAGCCAGTGCAGCTCGCGGAGAATTGGTGTAATGTGGGTGTACCTAGGTGCACCCATGACAGCTCGCGCGGCTGCGTTCTGGACCAACTGTAATCTCCGAACACTTTTCAAGGGTAGCCCCATGTAGAGCGCGTTGCAATAATCTAACTGTTTATTAGATTTCACTGTGAGGTGAAAATGGCACTGGTCACGCCTTAGTTGCAATAATCCTATTTTTAGACAATGCTGGCTGTTCTCTTCCCCTTTTTGCAGGTTCTTCTCCTAAAATCTTTTTGCTTGCTAAAGTTGCTGAAGATTTGAAAAGTTAAGGAGCACCAGGGACTGCCGGATGGCGGCGGGTGGTTCGGAGAACCGGTAGCAAAAATCCCTGCGCCCCCCCCCCCCACTCCCACCATGCCCAGCTGCGCCGCACGATCATCAGAAGCTTTTTTTTTTTTTTAACTTTTAAAAGCATTTTTTCTACAACCTCTTCCGATGAAAAAATGCTTTTAAAAGTAAAAAAAAAAAAAGCCTCTGATGATCGTGCGGCTCAGCTGGAATCGTCAGAGGCTTTTAAAAGCATTTTTTCTACAACCTCTTCCGACAAAAAAATGCTTTTAAAAGAGAAAAAAAAAGCCTCTGATGATCCCGCAGCTCAGCTGGGATCGTCAGAGGCTTTTCAAAGCATTTTTTTCTGCAACCTCTTGGCCGAAGAGGTGGTAAAAAAAAATGCTTTGAAAAGTCTCTGACGATCCCAGCTGAGTTGCCTGATCGGCAGAGGCTTTTCAAAGCATTAGAAAAAATGTTTTGAAAAGTTTTTTTTTTAAAGTTGGCCACGCCCACCCAGTCACATTACCCCCACCACCACCAAGCCACGCCCACAGAACCGGTAGTAACAAATTTTACATTTCACCCCTGATTCATCGTGGTTAAACTTCATGGTTTGGATGGAAACTACAAGGGTCTTTGAGAACTGGGCTGCCTCCTCTCAGGAATTGAGGGGAAGGGGCTGCAGAAACCTGACAAATATGTTTTCAAGATATTGATAGCTAGAAGAGGGGGTCAGGTGAAGGTGAGAAAAATATTACAGGCTCTTGAAGATCTGCCTTCTAAGGATTGTCAGGAGGGACTTGAAATATTCGGTCTGGAACGCAGGTCGTCCTCGACGTACGACCATAATTTGAGCCCCAACATTTCTGCTGCTAAGCAAGACAGTTGTTAAGTGAATTTTGCGCCTTTTTTATGACCTTCCTCGCCACCGTTGTTAAGGGAATCACTGCAGGGGTTAAGTTAGCCACACGGTTGTTAAGTGAAACAATGGCTTCCTCATCGACTTTGCTTGTCAGAGAGACCACAAAAGGGGATCTCGGGACACTGCCGCCGTCGTAAATATGAGTCAGTTGGCAAGCGTCTGAATTTTGATCACCTGACCATGGGGATGCCGCAATGGTCGTAAATGTGAAAAACAGCCATAAGGCGGGACTAGAACTCCCAGTCTCCTGGTGATTGGCCGAAAGTCACCCAGCTGGCTTTCATTGGGACTAGAACTCCCAGACACCTAGCTGGCTTTCATGTCTAAGGCAGGACTAGAACTCCCATTCTCCTGGTGATTGGCCGAAAGTCATCCAGCTGGCTTTCATTGGGACTAGAACTCCCAGTCACCTAGCTGGCTTTCATGTCTAAGGCAGGACTAGAACTCCCATTCTCCTGGTGATTGGCCGAAAGTCACCCAGCTGGCTTTCATTGGGACTAGAATTCCCAGTCACCTAGCTGGCTTTCATGTCTAAGGCAGGACTAGAACTCCCAGTCTCCTGGTGATTGGCCGAAAGTCACCCAGCTGGCTTTCGTGGGCACTAGAATTCCCAGTTTCCTGATGAATGGCCCAAGATCACCCAGCTAACTTTCATGGCTAAGGCGGGACTAGAACTCTGAGTCTTCTAGTGATTGGCCGAAAGTCATCCAGCTGGCTTTTATGGCTAAGGCAGGACTAGAACTCCCAGTCTCCCGGTAATTGTCCCAAAGTCACCCAGCTGGCTTTCGTGGGCACTAGAATTCCCAGTTTCCTGGTGAATGGCCCAAGGTCACCCAGCTAACTTTCATGGCTAAGGCGGGACTAGAACTCCCAGCCTCCCGGTGATTGGCCCAAAGTCACCCAGCCGGCTTTCATTCCCAAAGCAGGACTAGAATTCCCAATCTCCCGCTTTCTAGCCTGACGCCTTAACCCACTAGCCCGAACTGACTCAAGCCTGCCTAAAGCTTATTTTTTTCATCACGCCTGCTCACACGATGATATGCAGGCTCCGATCTCCCAAAGTAAAAACCGCGTTGGAAGCCTCTTAGTAATATTTCATCAACTCAGAGATACATGCCATAGATTGACATCCGGCTTATATCTCTAAATCAAATCCGTGGTAATGTGACAAGCAGGTACCGCATGTGGGCTTAATGTGCACGCTCAATTTATTTGATCCCTGCCGCTTCCTTGCGAGATGTTATCTGCTTGCAACATTACAAAGGCCGCGTAGATATTTGCGGGCGCGCTCACACAAAACACACACACACACAGAGACACGCCCCCCCCAAGATGTCTCAGCAGCTAAAAATAAATGATTAAAGAAATCCAAGGAAAGCACACCAATTATTTTATTTTGGCACGGCGGTTGCTGGGGGGAGGCGGTAATCTCTTTGTCTTAATTTTGTATGCTCAAGTCATGAGAAGAATCTATCCGGAACCCGAGAAAGCACCCGAGTTTTCAATACAGGTGGTCCTCGACTTACAACCACAAGGGAGCCCCCCAATTTTTGTCGCTAAGTGAGGCATTTTTTTAAAAAGCGAGTTCCGCCCCGTTTTACGATTTTTTTCTTGCCGCGTTTGCTAAGTGAATCACCGTGGTTGTGAAGCTAGTGACGCGGTTGTTAAGTGAATTGACTTTGCTTGGCAGAAGGTCGCAAAAGCGGATCGCGTGACCGCAGGGTGCTGCAAAAATAGGAACCAGGGCTCAAGCACCTGAATGTAAATCGTATGTCCATGGGAATGCCGCAACACTTGTAAGTGTGAAAAATAGTCGTGAATCCTCTTTTTTTCAGTGCCGTCGTAACTTTGAAGAGGTCACTAAACGAACTGTTGTAAGTTGAGGACTACTTGTATCCCTTGAAGTCACATCTGACTTGAAGAGGTCACAGGCAAGCTGGTTTTTTTTCTTGTTTTGAAATTAATTATTATTTTTTTTTTAAAAATCCCCCGTATTTTGGCTTCGAACCTGTTTCTAACTTTCAACGGTCCCTAAATGAACTGTTGTAAGTCGAGGACTACCTGAACGGAAGGTGGAAGGAAAACATGAGGGCCAGGTTGAGGTCCATCAATGGAAGCCACCGAGAAGATGGCCAGGAGCTCATTACGATGACCTTCAAAATCAGGACCAGACCTATCAAGTGGAAATGGAAACTTGCCTTTATGGATCAGTTCGGCAGTTCGATCCTGACTGGCTCAAGGTTGACTCAGCCTTCCGTCCTTCCGAGATGGGTAAAAGGAGGACCCAGATTGTTGGGGGGGGGGGAGAACCGGTTTGGTGACGTCGTATCGCCACTGCTACCGGCTCGGCCGAACCGGACCGAACCGGGAGGAATCCACCACTGGTGTGGAGCCCTCTTGGAACTGCTGAAAGGACTGTGTCGTAGACCGGGGGTCTCCGACGTTGTCAACTTTATGACTTGTGGACTTCAACTCCCAGAATTCCATACGCTGGCTGAGGAATTCTGGGAGTTGAAGTCCACAAGTCATAAAGTTGCCAAGGTTGGAGACCCCCTGTTGTAGACTGAAGATAAAGAATGTTGTATCCTTCCCCCTCTGTTGAGAGGGAGGGATATGACACCATCTATATCAATCCTTCCGTGCCCCATCACCATCCAGTCAGAGCTGAAGAAGCTTCTTGGATGAGAAGGGAAACGTCTTCAAAGGAAACAAAACAAGAAACTCCTGAAAAAAACAGCACCTTTGGGAGAACCATGACCTGGAGGACAGAGAATCATCAAGAGGCAACTGGAACTTTCTGATTTTTCTTTGAAGACGTTTCGCTTCTGCTCCAAGAAGCTTCTTCAGTTCTTGGACGAGAAGCGAAACGCCTTCAGAGGAAAAACAAGAAAATCTAGTTGCTGTCAAAGAGATTCACAATTAAATATTGCAGTTCTTTATTATATGTCTCC